CACCTATTTACTTAGGCCAGGAGCTGGTACATAACTAGAGCTCAGTGAATGTTGATTCTCCCACAAATCTTAAAAGAACTCAGGCTTGCCAAGACAAATACCACCTGACATTTAAAAAAAAAAAAACAAACAAACAAGCTGGGCGTGGTGGCGCACGCTTTTAATCCCAGCACTCGGGAGGCAGACAGGTGGATCTCTGTGAGTTCAAGGCCAGCCTGGTCTACATAGTGAGTTCCAGGACAGCTGGGGCTACAGGGAGACCCTGTCTCAAAAAGACCAAAAAAAGAAAAACCTTAAGTAAGGTTTATAAAGTAGCAGATAGGATCATGAAAACGAAAAATAGGTACTGAAAACATTTCTGAATGGCCATCCTTCATGGTCACTTACAACCTTCGTGTTTTGTAAAATTGTCTTTAGGGTTGGGCTTTGACATGAAGCAGACCAAATGTAAACTAATTCTTTTTGAAAGTAAAATCTTACACTGCTTTTCTGCACCAGGTGAACAGTACCTTTCATAAAACCTTCACCTCAAACTTTCAGCAATTCTAGTTTCCAAACAAAGCAGTAACAAAACTATAAAGCTCATTTTTTTCATTAGAATTTTTAGGTAACAGGAATTTAATAAATCATTTGCCTTCCAAGGGAAAATTTACTAACAACACAGTATTTCTTCTAGTCCCAAAAAAGCCTGAAGCTTAGTTATTTACAAGTAATACTATAGTACAACTTTTTATGGCTCAAGAATACAATATTTAAGCAATAAAGGTATACAGAGAGAAGAAGACTTGGTCTAAATAGTCTTGAGACTAAGGACAAGTGTGGCCATTTACTGTGTGACTTTCAGGAGGATACTTAGGAGTTTTTTAGGGACTCTACTTTTCAAGTCTTTTCAGCTCTACAACTAATTGGGGGTTGGCGAGATGGCTCAATGGGTAAACGTGCTTGCCACCAACCCTGCAACCTGAGTTTACACATGCACTGTGGCACACATGTACATATGATTAAATAAATACGGCTGGGCGTGGTGGCGCACGCCTTTAATCCCAGCACTTGGGAGGCAGAGGCAGGTGGATCTCTGTGAGTTCAAAGCCATCCGCATCTACATAGTGAGTTCTAGGATAGCTGGGGCTACAGGGAGACCGTGTCTCAAAAAGACCATAAATAAAT